TGTTCGAAATAAGAAAATAAAAAGCAACTACTCTATCAAAATGTAAATATATAATGAATATTTTAGGCAAATATTTTTATGGTCCTATAACACACATTTCTTTTGCTGACAAACTTACGGCAGGGTTTTATAAAGTTTGTCATCAATAGCAATGCGTGTTATAGGACTGTAACAACATTTGCTAAAGCATGCATTGCTTAAATAAATCTACCGCTGACGAATACACAAGGTGCTTCTCGCCAAAGAAAGACAAAAATTTCAAAGTTTACACACATTTTGTCGATCAAACGGATGCGTAGAAAAATATTAACAGTTTTCACGCAAGACTTTAACAACTTCGACAAAGCTGTGAGTCCGCCAATAGTGATTAATATGCAATTTAAAAAGACATCGAAGAAAACACATTACGGGAAGGCTTGGCTTTACATAGGTTCATTGCCCTGAGTCTAAAAAAATCTGACAAGCAAGCTCGGGAGATTAAATAATTGAACTACTGAACCATTGCTGAGTAATAATATCCAACCAAATTCTACCTATTGGCATGTTTGGAAAGACATATTGGAATAAGTAATTATATTTTGAAGGTGTAATTATTTAATGTTCCCGTGAGCTCGATTCTCTGAGCCGAGAATTCTTCACTGACTTCAACCAGTTATCGGGGATTTGTCCACTAGCTACCCGCATTATATATATACAAACAACAATAAGGAATTCAGAATAGTAAAAAAATCGGTAATTCAGACTTAAAATCGATTAAATAATGGCACAATATAAACAAATAATAGTTTTACATAGAGATCCCTGCAAAGGATAAAGCCATGAAAAAGACCAGGTGTTCCGGAAGATTAAGCCTCCCCCTCTGTGAATTTAGGTAAAATTCCAGTAATGTTGCGTCCTCAAAGTCATATGTCAAGCGTGGATGAAATGTTTAACTATTAATTATTCTGTAAAGTTGATATTTAACGATGGTAACCTAAAAACTCGTTTTCATTCGAACCGCCTTTTATAAAAACTACAATGTAGTCAGTTTCATAAATATGAGATGGACTGAAAACTTGTTAGAAGTTCTAACTAACTAAATCAAAGGCAATTGTACTGCTATACTAGCTGCACAGTGTTTGTCTTGTCACACTGAAGCTGACCACATAGTGTCTCGAAGAGACATTACATTACGGTGAACCACAATTAAAAAAGCTATGATTTTTGTAATGTTTATTATTATTTCTCGCAACTACGTTATTACATTATGCGCAATAATGTCATTGTGTGTGAAAGCAGCTGACCGGTTGCACGAGAATCGTTGTATTCATAGTTTATTCATGGTCAAATGGCAGTTGTTTTCACTTCGTAGATTCATGTACAGAACAAACATCAAGAATGGAAATATATGACTATATAGTCCAACGATTCTACCATTGCATTGAACTGTTGTCAGGTGCAGTATACAGTCGATATGAATGCAATTTGGGTGACAGATAAATAGAATGTCTTGATTCTTATTTGTTATAAATATTTTGACTGTAGCTTTATTTTAGATCACTTTTAAGGTTTCAAGTGTGAGATTTATACCAGGTGAGCGATGTAGGCCCATTTGGGGCCCTTGTGTTTAAAGCAGCCTTTCTTCCGTCTGTTTCGTGTCGCAGTAGTAGTCCTAAATTAAATTTGCTTGTCAACGACGAGAAATAAACTTTAAAAAAGGGTATTTTACTTCAAGAATATTTGTAGTTTTTCACAAATTGGAAAACAATATAATTGTGAACACTCTAGCTGTTGACATTTGATAAGTGAATGACGTCTGCGAAACACTAGCCAACACAGGAAATGACTACAAAACTGACGATAACAAATTAACACTGTAATGTGTGACTCTGTACTGGTAAACATATTGTGACTCTAAGATGGAGAAATCACAAACATGTGAAGTCACGCAGACATCTTTTGTTCAAGTAAGGTCCTCCACGGAGTCCCGGAAATCATTCATACAAGGGAACGTAGTTCAGATAACAAGACTGCACAACAGTAAACAATTCCACATATCGTTACATCTCCCTTCTTTTAAATCTTTCTTCTGTATCATCAGCGTGACTTCACGTGTTTGTGATTTCTCCATCTTAGAGTCACAATATGTTTACCAGTACAGAGTAAAACTTTACATGGTGTCAGAACAAGAACTGACAATGGCCTTGTCAGGTATCCAAGCGCCCCAGATGGACTCTGGAATTCAAACAACTTGCCGGAAGATTGGAAAAAGTTCAAGCAGCCCGCTGATCTTATTTTCACCGGACTTCTGAAAGATAGTACAAAGGACATACATCCTTCTATGGATTGGTCAAAGAGGAAGAGACATATACAGCACGTGGACATTCACTGAAGAAGAAGAGAAATTACTGACCCCACTCTACGAAAAGTTTGAAACGTACGAACAGCCTAAAGCTAACGTTGTGTTCACCAAATTTAAATCCAATAACATTGTCCAAAGTGCATTACCATTACACGTGTTTGTCATCAAACTACGAATGTCGGCAAAGCCATGTACTTTTACAAACGCGGACGAAATGATAAGAGATCGCATCGTATTCGGTGTAACGTCCCAGAATGTACTCGAGAAGCTTATCAACGATGGTAATGAACTGACCCTAGATAAAGCCATTACGATTGGACAAGGGTGCGAGTACGCCTTGACACAGCTCCGGACCATGCAACCAGAATCGTCGACGTCAGATACCGCCATACACGCCGTACGGACAGACTCTAACAGAAAGACAGGGAGAGCCAGAGACACTCGCCCGACCCGGGACTCACGTTCAGCACGTGTACATAGTTCACATTATACACAGAACTCTCGTGATCAACAAAGAAGAGAAGAATATTGAAACACAACTTTAAATGCCCAGCAAAGGGTGAACAGTGTTTGAAATGCAAAAAGAAATTCTCTTTGGTTCTAATTGTAGGTCTGTTACTTGTGTATCTGAAGAGAGTGAATCAGAGTCATTGGGTATAGATTCGGATGAATTTTATGTTGATGTTATAAACGCACAATCCACTCCATGTCCCACCCCCAAGACCAAGCACTGGTTGACCTTGAGTTTGGACCCCACAAAAAGGCTGTCACGTTTAAATTAGACACAGGAACACAGGTAAATGTCATACCTTTACACATACTTGATCATGCATACCCCAAGCACACATTCATACAATGGCTCACCAATCAGAACCCTAGGTTGTTGTGATATGCAGATTATGTATAAAATCAACGTGAAACTGCAGAAATATATGTGACCAATACTGCACTTACCCCCATCTTAGATCTCCAGGCTTTTTTAAACCAACAGCTTATCAAGTTGATATATGCTGTAAACCCTACCCCTTGTAGCCACACCCACTTGCTAACCACAGAACTCCAACATGCTCAAGGTAAGTCACTTCAAACCAATCCGCCCTACCACTTGACAAGAAGTATGTCATGTGTGAATACTCGGACGTATTTAAAGGCATTTGTCAGTGTCCAGGTAACTGTACTTTCCACGTTAACCCGGGTGTACAACCAGTTGTAAACCCCCCTCGTAAAGTACCAATAGCCACTCGCGATAAATTCAAGGCTGAGTATGAGCGAATGGTGCAGGCTGAGGACATAGTTAAGGTAAATGAACCTACACCATGGGTCAACTCCCTTGTAGTCGTAAAAAAGGCTTCAGGGAAGTTGAGAGTATGTTTAGACCATCAAAGTCTAAATAAGGCCATAAATCGTCCCCATTACCCAATGAAGACCCTAGAGGAGATACTGTCAGATCTCACGTGAGCACGTTATTTCACGAAGCTCGATGCACGTTCAGGCTATGGGGCCCTGAAACAAGACCATGATTCATCACTACTTACCACTTTCGACTCGCCCGTCGGTAGGTATCGCTTTCTACACATGCCCTTTGATGTTCAGACCGCAAGGATGAATTCCAGCGTGTAATTGATAGCAGTTATGAAGGCTTGACTGGTGTCAATGCCATAGTAGACGACATACTAGTGTCTGGCAAGACCAGACATGAGCTTGACGAGAACCTGTGAGCAGTACTAGACAGAACCAGATCAGTAGGTATACAGCTCAATGATGACAAACTGGAGGTAGGTGTCACTAGTGTATGCTATTTTGGTCACCTACTGACCGAGATAGGACTACAGCCTGACCCTGAAAAGGTGGCTGCAGTGCGTAACATGAAACCATCACGTGACAAAGGTTAGCTAGTGACAATACTAGGCACGATAAACTATCTTGCTAAGTTTGCCCCAAACCTGTCCCAGGTAACAAACCTCTTAAGAAGTCTTTTACCAAAAGACATGGAGTTTGTATGGGAAAGCCCACAAATGGAGGCATTTCAGAAAGTGAAAAACCTCATAACGCAGAGTCCTGTGTTAGCATACTTTGCCCTGATGAACCTGTTACCCTACAAGTTGATGCATCAAAGTATGGTCTAGGCGCCAGCGACTACAACACGGTAAACCTGTAGCTTATGCATCAAAGTCCTTGACCCCTTCAGTAGTTCAATATGCACAAATATCAAAGGAAATGTTTGCAATTTTATATGTTTGTAAGCGTTTTCACTATTTGGGAGACTCATCGATGTCGAGTCTGACCATAAGCCCCTCGAGTCTATTCTCAAAAAGCTTATCGGTGCAGCTCCCGCACGCCTGCAGAGAATGATGCTGAAATTGCTAAACTTCAATGTCAGTGTTAGACACGTTCCAGGGTAACAAATTCGTGTGGCAGATGCCTTGTCTAGAACGTTCATGCCCGATACTTACCCTGAACTCTCAGAAGGTATGGATGTCCAAGTCCGCACCGTCATGTCCAATTTACCTGTAAGCTCTCGTCGCATGGACGAAATCAGACAGCATGATATGGCTGACCCCCAAATGGTCACCCTTACTTAAGTATTCAAGATGGTTGGCCAGATCAACGGAGAGACTGTCTGTTGTCTATCATTGAATATTGGAACATTAGAGATGAAATGACAGTCATCCATGGTATCAATTCCAAAGGCACAAGAACAATCATACGCAAAGGGTTGAGAATAGTCATGTTAGATCTGCTACATTCTGGTCACATGGGTGTAGAGAAATGTCGTAGTCGAGCCAAGGATATCATGTTTTGGCCTGGCTTAAGTTCAGACATTTCTGAATTAGTCCTAAACTGTCCTACGTGTTTAGAGTTGAGAAATTCGAACGCGAAAGAACCCATGCTACCCCGCGAGATACCTGCACGACCATGGCAGATAGTCGCCACTGATCTCTGTGCATGGAATGATCAGGGTTTTGTAGTCGTTGTAGACTATCACAGTCGCTATTTTGAGGTCTCAAAACTTTCCTCCACTACCAGTGCAGCTGTCATATCCAAACTTAAAGAACTCTTCTCGAGGTTTGGTATACCAGAGAAAATTATCTCTGACAATGGTCCCGAATACTCCAGCGAGAAATTTCGGGAGTTTGCAAAAACTTGGGATTTCAACCACGAAACCTCTAGTCCACACCACCCCCAGTCAAACGGTTTAGCAGAGAAAACTGTCCAGACTATCAAACGTCTATTTACTAAAGCTATAAGGCTGATGGTAGAGACCCCTATATTGCCCTACTAGAATACCGTACAACCCCCCTCGACTCCGTTTTCTCGCCATCCTAGCTACTGATGGGTCGTCGCCTACGTTCCGTTCTCCCTTTATCATCAGAACAGCTTAAACCTGTGACCGTAAATACATCACTAAACACACAGAAAACACGGGAAGGGAAGTATAGACAGAAATACTACCATGACAAGTCTTCAAAGTCTCTAAATCAACTAGATGTAGGCGAGACTGTTAGGATTGAACGTGATGGTAGATGGAAACCTGCAGTAGTAACAAAACAGGAAAATGCCAGATCTTACACTGTACACAAACCTGATGGAGGTGTATATCGCAGAAACAGATATCATATTCTTAAAACTAAGGAAACAGCTTTAGACTATAACCAACATGAAGCTCCAGTTATCCTTACGCATTTTCCATCACACAAAATAAAATCACTTTACCAGAGAAACCATAAACCCCACAGAAACCAGACCCCCAAACGCGACCCGAATCTCCCAAGATGTTTAAAACTGAACTACTCATTCCAAACTCTCCACATCGTTTATCGAATGACTCTGTTTACATCACTCGCTCTGGTCGCCAGGTGAAACCAAATATCAAACAATCTATGTGATCATTTTGTGTTAACTAAATGTACAGACGTACACCTTTGATGAACTGAATTTATAAAATATATCAAGGATGTGATTACATCATTCATAATAACATGACATATTGATAAGATATTATTTGTTTATGGTCCAAAGCATTGATTCTATTGTGTCAAACTATATTGTGAATTATTTATCATAAACTTTATACGTACATGTGAGTTATTGAAATAGTTAGTATTGTTGAACATTTAAACAGTTACTCCACTTATCCATTGGTAATAGAATGGAGCAAATTTAAGACATTAACTTTAAGGTGAGCATTATTGTTATCGCTGATGATACAGAATAAAGACTTAAAAGAAGGGAGATGTTACGATATGTGGAATTGTTTACTGTTGTGCAACCTTGTTATCTCAATTACGTCCCCTTGTATGAACCCCACTTTAATTTCTCCATCTTAGAGTCACAATATGTTTATCAAGACAGAGTAAAACTTTACAAACACCAAGATGTTTAAAGTAATTTTACATGTTGTAGGGGTTTAGATCGACTTTCGGTAAAAAAAAAAAAAAAAAGACACCCCAAGTGATCATATATATATACATAGTATACCCTACAAGTTGAAAATAGTATTTGTTCTATATATATATATATATATATATATATATATATATTTACGAGTATTGGGAGAGTCATTTTTTCCGAAAGTCGATCTAAACTCTATTACTCTGAAAACCTTAGTTGAGGTCCAAATATAGCTGTAACAAATAGTCTTAGGTACCTGTGGTCCAGTGTGGGTGTAACAAATAGTCTTAGGTACCTGTGGTCCAGTGTGGGTGTAACAAATAGTCTTAGGTACCTGTGGTCCAGTGTGGGTGTAACAAATAGTCTTAGGTACCTGTGGTCCAGTGTGGGTGTAACAAATAGTCTTAGGTACCTGTGGTCCAGTGTGGGTGTAACAAATAGTCTTAGGTACCTGTGGTCCAGTGTGGGTGTAACAAATAGTCTTAGGTACCTGTGGTCCAGTGTGGGTGTAACAAATAGTCTTAGGTACCTGTGGTCCAGTGTGGGTGTAACAAATAGTCTTAGGTACCTGTGGTCCAGTGTGGGTGTAACAAATAGTCTTAGGTACCTGTGGTCCAGTGTGGGTGTAACAAATAGTCTTAGGTACCTGTGGTCCAGTGTGGGTGTAACAAATAGTCTTAGGTACCTGTGGTCCAGTGTGGGTGAAATACATTTTACTATTTTTAACAGTGGTGAAATCAGGTAGAGAGCTGGCGTCGTCACCGTCATAGAACAGTGAAACAAATTAAAATTAATTATATAAATCTACACCCCTACCTCAAAACAATAACCCAGCAGAAACAACTGGGCCAACCCGAATTGGTGCCAATTGACATGGTTAAAGATAAGCCAAAGTGTTCAAAACATTTTTATAAATAAAAAATTGTTATTATTTTGCAAAATTTTATTTGTGTAACATCGTGATGGGTTTATTTATCTTTCCTTAAAATGTTCACTCTTTTCGTGAAAAAAAATCAAATTCGTTGGAAATATACTTATATTTTTACTGTCATTATTTTCTTGTTGATCTAACATTTCCGTAGTTTATTTGACCCCGTGTTTTCTCATTTTCTTTTTATGTGAATGGCGTTTTAAAAATACATGTATGTCATCTAAAAAGTACTGTTAAAATTTTCATTTATTTTTCTCTCTGCGAGTATAACAACTGGTCGGAAATGTATAGATAAATTTCATAAAATTGTAGATAATTGTCTTCGCCTTTACATAGTATAACGTATTTTTTTAATATCCTACTATAACTTCGGCGCTCAACTGTCCGGAACCAGTCGGACTGGAGAAAACACATCCGAATTTTCTCGTCGAAGTTGTTCTCTACGTTAGCCCTAACACATCCGTAGCCAATTCATTTTTGTGGAGGCTTTGGAAGATTCCAATTAGTTTAAAGGTACAGTGTATGCATGTCCAACATATCCATGGATTTTACATAGAGAGTTCCGGTACTATCTGGATATAATGTTTTAAGCACTTAACACTATAAAAATATCCAATGGAAACATACATATATTAACGTCATGCAATCCAATTGCAGTAGGACTGAAAATGCATTGCCAATTACAATGTTAGCTGTGACGAGTTTTAAAACTGTGATTGTAACCCTAAGTGACAGTAAATAAAGTTCATATATTATAATGTGTTATTGGTATATCAGCATCTTTAAATCAATATTTTCAATTTAAAAATACTTCTTTGTTCAGCATGGAAATTTCTTGTGCCTTTTTGCTTCAAGCAGAGACGTAATATATACGTCTCTGCTTCAAGTGTCCCGATTTGGGTACTGTGACGTTAGGTCTATTATATCCCCTCAAAACTGCACAGACTAACCTTCATTATGTTGGGTTATTGAAATAGATTTGGAACGCTAAAACATGCTTACCCTGATTTGATCAGCCCAAGTATCATGATATCTGACCTATATCTGTTTAGAAAAAAAAAGATTTCTGACGTAACACGTATGCAAGCTTCTTCTATTTCCGGAATTCATGGGTCGCATCCGCTATTCGCTTTGTGATTAGCAAACTACTTCCGGGCTGATGAAACCACATGTAAATTGTAAATAGGTCTAAGGTTAGCCGGTTACTTATAAGGTTCTTATAAGCTGGCGATTCGTCGCATTTTCTAATAATTTCGTCGTTTGATAGCGATATAATGTCGTACAAGGTTGTTATACAGAAGGACAGACCAGCGTTAGGTAAGAATAATAATGAATGTGTTAAATATCACCTCCTAAAACACAGGAGCCTGAAGTTCTGTCAAAAATTAATATATCTTCTGATGTCGCTTACTTATTCGATTAAGTTCAGAGATATAGTTTGAAGACGCTTCACAATCTGTAGAGTTCTATTCACACACGTGTGCTACGCCGTCGATCGTAATAATCAAAATCATCATAACTCAGTCATTTATTCAAATATCTATTTGAAATTTGGTATTAAGGTAATAGGATTGTGTCGCCAATACAATTGTTTCTTCAAATTTTGTAGTTATATTGCTTTGAAGAAAAGAATTTGTTTTGCCACAAAAAAATTAAGGTTGTCAGAATTTTAAGGATTTTAAATGGAAAATTATGTAAAAAGGAGTGAATTTTGAAAAAAATGAAACGCACAATATTTTGTCAATAAAAATGATACTGACATAGATTAGTTTTGCATTAATGTATATCAATTTCATTAATGCTGACATTGTGTCAAATTAATTATCTATAAACGATTAAAAATTGACATTTTATAATAAAACTATATATACACATAGCAATTGCATGTAAGAGTTATCGTTCTTGAAAAACTTCACAGTAGTGAAATAGGTAGCCGGTTTCCTGAAGTACAGAAAAATGGACACATGTGACTCATTGATTAAAAAACAACTGAATAAATGCCTGGATTGCTTTCAAATACTTTAGTATTGAAAGAAAACACTGTTCTGTCAATAATAAACATACAATATTCATCAGTTTAATATTAAACATTAGAATATGTGGAAATTATGATACTGTCTCCCGACATTGGATTTTCAACTAGGGATGTAGTTCCTATTTCCGTTTAGCAATACACTCCTATGACCTTAAGGTGTATCATAGTTATATGAATAACATATCTTCTGATGTCGCTTACATTATAGGTTAATATTAGAGATATTGTCTGAAGACGCTTTACGATCTGTAGTGTTCTATTCACACACGTATGCCACGCCGCCGATCGTAATAATAAATTAATCATAACTCGATCATTTTTTCAAATATCGAGCTGAAATTTGGAATATATATCAATAAAAGTCTAACTTATAACATATCTTCTGATGACGCTTTTTCTAGCAAGTTTTTATAATTATTATCTGGCGACGATTTCTTCACTTTACATGCGAATACACACATGTGCCACGCAGTGATCATAAAAATTCAATTCGACATAACTCGGTCATTTTATCAAATATCAAATTGAAATTTGGTACAGAGGTGTATTATAGTCATATTAACAACATATCTTCTGATGTCGCTTACTTTATTCAGCATTTTTGAAGATTTTGTCTGGCGACGCTTGTTGTCACTTGAAGATCTGCTTGTTGTCGGTTGAAGACGCTTTTAAGGAGGACCCATAACAGTAATACAAAAAAAACACTATAAAATGCTTATTTTTTTTAGCATATTATAAGTATTTTTTTGTTTTATTGTTATTATTAATTTTTTGACAGAACTTCAGGCTCCTGTGCTAAAACCAAATATGGTATACTGGTTCCGTCGGGCAGCTTTCGGTGGTGATTCAAACTTTGCATGCGCTTATATATTATCATAGCATGCGATGATTTTAAAACACGTTGTAAAGGTATTAGAGTTTTTAAGTGGAAAATAAAGTTTGACGCATGGGGATTTCTGGAGATAAATATATATAAGTTGTAAATCTTATTTCCAAATTCTATTTCAACAAAAATGCTTTATACTGTAAAAGCAATTGGAAATGAAATGAAGTTTATATTAAGAATGGGGATTTTCACAATTCTCTGAAATTTGAAGGGTCGTTTTAAATTCAAGAGTCAAAACTCCCACTGTGGAATCAAAAACATACTCTCAATTGCAAGTGTCTATGGATTTTTGACAACACAACACCATTTCACCAATATAATTCTTGCTAGATTGTTAATAACATAGTTCTGTTACTGCATTTGGAGTAAGTGAAAACAATACCTATATATTATAAATAACAAAAATTATCAATATAACTATCAAATATATATAACGGTACAGAGGTACCTGTAGTTTTACATTTAATTATAAATATTTAAACAAAAGAGGTTTTAGTGTCACTAACAAGTGAGTCAATTCGGTTTGATTCTTGTTATTACATGTACCACTTGGGCTTTCATTAGACACTTTAGGTATGAGCTTTGATTCTTGGATTGGAAAGGACAAGTCTATTGTTTCGCCTCTTTAATTTCAGGCAAAAGTTTCATTTGGCTTTTAAATTCAAATGCACAGGGACCACTGAAAGCCCTGACCATAAAGATCTATATAAAACCAGTTTTAAAAGGGTTCAATACAGCTATTCGCTTATTCAATAGCATTCAGCCGTGGCCTTGACAGGTAGTGCTTTCACTGGCTGATCCAACACCAACTCGTGATTTATCCCTTACATACAATATTAATGTATCTAACATGTTGTGTATTAATCATGTGTTCAATTACACTGTTGGTGGCAAATTGTTTTCATCTCCTGGAATCAGGCAGTCATTTTGTTAATTTGAATTTGACTATAAGGTGGACAAAATGTATGAATTTCATTTTGTATATTCCTAATATGGCTGTATAAATGTATTTTTCCCTATTGTTTCTTTTTGTTTAGCTGCGTACCTATCTGCCCTGTATGTGAAGTCTCGCGGGAAAACAGTAACTACAGAAATAGGAAACAGCAATTCACTTGATGTTGGAGGGTAATTATAAGTATTAATATAGAATGATAGGTTTCCATTACACCTTTACTGTACATTTTATTGTATGTACAACTGAACATGTATTATAAAATGATGATGAAGAATAAGTAACATAAGAACATTTTTATAACGACTTTATAATTTTGTATGCAAGCTAACCTTTTAGAGCAAATAATAGAGAAGCATTTTCATTACTATTGTACTGAGCCTTGCATGTCGTTGTTAAAGACTTTATGTTTTATGAATTATTTCCTTGCCCGAAATAATCATGCCAGAAATTTGTAGAACTAAGGATGATAAAATGTCATTTTGATTTTTTTACAGAAATGTATCATTTACAAGCAATTTCTCCATTTGTCGCTTCCTGGCAAGAACTTTCCCAGATGTGGGACTGCAAGGAGAATCTGTTTTACAGAAAACAGAGGTTTGTTTTTTGTTCATATTTGTTTATGTGCGTAATCTGATCATGACAGTTCTTAGGTTTGACTTACTGTGTGCCTTGGTCTTAAAATGGACCAACAATGGTTCCTGTATTTTTGATATATCAATTCATGTATCACCACGTTTTCTTTGCATTGGTTTTGTAATGTGCACCAATAAGATGGCTGCCCTGATTGGTCCAGTGTCCTAAATCAACCAGCATTGGACAATTTCAATGCTCCAGATATGTCTCGACTTTTTGTGTTACACTTGTTGAAAAAATGGAGTGTTTTTTAATAAAGAATACTGATCCCTGTGAACATTGGATAAAGAACCTCATCTTTGCTGTTAACAGCTATTTTTTTAGTGTCGCCTGCAAAGCAAAAGGTTAAGGCGACACACTGGGATCACTCAAACATCTCTGTTGTCATCCGGTTGCTCGTGTCATTATCTTCACAAAGATTTCTGTTTGATAAGCCTTGAAGGAGAGCTTAGATCACAAGTATAGTATGTTAGGTATGCTGTATCTTTAAGATGATGTTATTTGTTTGGTCGCAGGTGGACCACTGGATGACGTTTGCGACAGGTCACCTATCCTGTGCAAATGAGTTCTCCGCGGCCCTGCAGTACCTGGAGGAGAGGTTGACCCTGGTCACTTTCCTTGTTGGTCATGGTCTTACCGTTGCTGATTTTGCTGTCTGGGAGGCACTACATGGTAAAAACATATTCAGATATCAAATATCTAATTCCCTTCCCTGTTATAGTCTTTCTTATCTTATTCCCAAACATGCAGTTTTGCTTACAGGAAGTAACATTCCAAATTTTCCGTGATTTCGGTAAACATCTGTATATTGAAAAATAATCTTTCATTAATTCAGTCATTTAATGTAAGTTAGAACAGTTGTAGGGGATTAAAAATTGTTTTAATATTAATGTCTCGAAAGACATACTGTCTATTTTCTGTTTTAAACAATTTTACCACAGTGAAGTTTTATCACCAGGGCTTAATGTTTGGTTGCTTGAGTCTTGCTAAAGCTATACAAATAGTATGCGACGTAATAGTTATATATATTGGATATATGAGATTAACAAAGATATTCCTTTCCACAGTCAACAAACTGTGGTATGATTTAATGGCGAGGGATGCAGCACCAGTGAATGTGACCCGTTATTTCCGGTTCCTCTCCGATCAAGAGCCGTTCAAGTCTGCCTTGATAGTTGTACCAAAACCACAGACCCAAGGAAAGAAGAAGTCTGAAACTGGTGTAAGTCGGTGAAAGATTGGGCAGCTCCCTTGGATCAATAATGAAATGAAAGTAATTGAGTGGAAGTTAATTATTAGTTACTGTAATATCTTTACATATACATGTATACTATTAGGGCTATTCAAAAATAACTACTGAATTGTTTGTAATATCTGAAGGGGAAAGGGCTTGATATAAGTTGTTCAACTTGTGCCCAATCCCACTGCTTATCTAAATCAGCAGTAAAATATGTTTAAAAAAAAATCTGCAGGGTATTTAATTTCGCAATATTCATGTTCACCAAAGCTAGCATGAAGTTAAATACACAAACTGTCAGCAAATATTAATACCATGAAGTACTTCTCTCTTCTGTTCACAACTCTACCAGTTACATAGCTAGCCATTTGCATCATCCAGTCTCCTACAGGTAGGCAGATTTGGCTGGTTAACATGGCTTGACTGTGATGGTTACTGATGTTACATATGATTTGTAATACATGTTACAGGTGAAAAAAGACGAGGGAAAGTTTGTAGACCTACCAGGAGCAGAGATTGGCAAAGTGGTGGTTCGATTTCCACCAGAGGCCAGTGGGTAAGTTGTGAACACATGAAACATGTGTATATTTTCTGATTGGAAAATCGGTTTCAAAACAGCATTTGTTCCTTGATGGAACTGGTAATCATAGAAAACACAAACCTTGTTCCAGCAAAATCTGGCTTATTCCAGCAAAATCTGGCTTATTCCAGAAAAATCTGACTTATTCCAGCAAAATCTGCTGTTCCTTGTGTTCCATGATTTGCAAAAACAATTTGTATCTGAAATGAAACCTTCAAGAGAATTTGTAATTCAAGTCTGCAGTGTCATTTTTTAACATAGATAGAAGGATTTAAATGCATTTTTTTAAAATTTCGGATTGTATGCAAAACAGTTTCAACGAAACACATTCTCCAGGACATGTGTTACCATGCATCGTGGAATATGTTTTAATGGAACCGTGTATGTAATATAATTTTTTTAAACATAATGAAAGGACTCCTAACTATTTTCTTAAAATATCATGTCCAGTTTTGAGCAGTTGTGTTTGAATTTTTGGATAATTCACGTCTATCAACAGATTTCTTCATATTGGTCACGCCAAGGCAGCCCTGCTGAATTACCACTACGCACAGCTGTTCAAGGGAAAGCTCATCATGAGGTTCGACGACACCAACCCAGCAAAGGAGGACGCCGACTTTGAGAGAGTAAAATACATCTTTAAATGCTAGGATTCATATTTAAACAGATTTAATGAATAATAGGCGGAATAATATTGTTGTATCGCTGCCACGAAGTAGCGGTAGCGAGACTTAGGCGTTGCTTTTCCGGCGATGGCGGAGTCAACATTAAGTTTTTGCGTTTAAGTTAGTTTCACTGAAAGTATAAGTGCTAGACCAACCAAACTTGGACCATAGTTGCATCTTAGGTAGTGCATCTCAACCCGTGCATCAAATGCTGGATGCAACCTACCTTTCGTGGTTCATTGACTTTGTCAGCATCTCAATCCACATTAAGTTTTTGCGTTAAGTTCGTTTCTCTGAAAGTACCAGTGCTAGACCAACCAAATTTGACATGAGCATTGATGGTCAAAGTGGGGCACAGGCGAGATATATCAATCCAAATGGTTTGTTATTTCACAAGCAATGATTTTGAAAACTATGGCATTCATCTCCCGCTAATAGGTGTCTATAATGTTCTAGTAACCTCTGCCCAAATTAGTGGCTGTGTTTGTTACAATGACATATGTTAAAGCAAACAATTTGATGTCTGCGTGTTGTTGATGATGTCAGGACATTTCTATATATGTTGATATTTAAAGATTCTGGATAACCGAACTACTTATTGGTAGTGAAGCAGATGTAAAACCACTCAAACAAACAAACTATGATATGTCTGTCAGTACCAGTCCAGTGTTTTATCTGGTCGAGCACTCATTATATTATTAAAAAAAATATGGAATCATAGTTTTAGTTGATTACTTGTCAGGTATTCTGTGATGTTGCAAATTGAGTAGTTTGTGACTAAGGAGATTTTCACATTGATGTTATAGGTAATCTTGGAGGATGTAGCTATGTTAGGCATCAAGTATGACATCTTCAGTCACACATCCGACCACTTCGACCTGATCCTGAGTCTGGGGGAGAAGCTCATCCGTCAGGGAAAGGCGTACGCCGACAACACAGACCCGGAAACCATGAAGAAGGAGAGAGAGGAGAGGGCAAATTCCAAGAATCGTGCTAACAGTATGTAGTGTGACAACTATATAGGAAGATCTTCCATCTTAGGGCACTTGTATGTAGAAACTATAGACAAGGTAGGAACAGTTACACAACTGTGTTAACATTGCTATAGACAAGGGAGGGACAGTTACACAACTGTGTTAACACTGATATAGACAGAGGAGGGACAGCTACACAACTGTGTTAACACTGCTATAGACAAGGGAGGGACAGTTACACGACTGTGTTAACACTGCTATAGACAAGAAAGGGACAGCTACACGACTGTGTTAACACAGCTATAGACAAGGGAGGGACAGTTACACGACTGTGTTAACATTGCTATAGACAAGAAAGGGACAGCTACACGACTGTGTTAACACTGCTATAGACAAGGGAGGGACAGTTACACAACTGTGTAAACACTGCTATAGACAAGGGAGGCACAGCTACACAACTGTGTTAACACGGCTATAGACAAGGGAGGGACAGTTACACGCCTGTGTTAACACTGCTATAGACAAGTGAGGGACAGCTACACAACTGTGTTAGCACTGCTGTAGACAAGGGAGGGACAGCTACACAACTGTGTTAATACTGCTATAGACAAAGGAGGGACAGTTACACAACTGTGTTAACATTGCTATAAACAAGGGAGGGACAGTTACACAACTGAATTAACACTGCTATAGACAAGGGAGGGGCAGCTACACAACTGTGTTAACACGGCTATAGACAAGGGAGGGACAGTTACACGACTGTGTTAACATTGCTATAGACAAGAAAGGGACAGCTACACTACTGTGTTAACACTGCTATAGACAGAGGAGGGACAGTTACACGACTGTGTTAACATTGCTATAGACAAGGGAGGGACAGCTAGACGACTGTGTTGACACTGCTATAGACAGAGGAGGGACAGTTACACGACTGTGTTAACATTGCTATAGACAAGGGAGGGACAGTTACACGCCTGTGTTAACACTGCTATAGACAGAGGAGGGACAGTTACACAACTGTGTTAACATTGCTATAAACAAGGGAGGGACAGTTACACAACTGTGTAAACACTGCTATAGACAAGGGAGGGACTGTGTTAACAATGCTATAGACAGAGGAGGGACAGTTACACAACTGTGTTAACACTGATATAGACAAGGGAGGGACAGTTACACAACTGTATTAACACTGCTATAGACAAGGGAGGGTCAGATACACGACTGTGTTAACACTGCTCTAGACAAGGGAGGGACAGCTACACGACTGAATTAACACTGCTATAGACAAGGGAGGGGCAGCTACACGACTGTGTTTACACTGCTATAGATAAGGGAGGGACAGCTACACGACTGTATTAACACTGCTATAGACAAGGGAGGNTACACGACTGTGTTAACACTGCTATAGACAAGGGAGGGACAGCTACACGACTGTGTTAACACAGCTATAGACGAGGGACGGACAGCTACACGACTGTGTTAACACTGCTATAGACAAGGGAGGGGCAGTTACACGACTGTGTTAACACTGCTAAAGACAAGGGAGGGACAGCTACACAACTGTTAACACAGCTATAGACAGAGA